CTTGGTCATATCGAGGCTTTATCGTGAGACAGACTTTGAACCTTGCACTGCCACACACTGATCAATGGAAAAGTGTGTTTCAAGGCTTGAATTCAAGTTGCTACCTGCAACGCTACTAGACGTAGCTGCTACCTGCAACGGTAGAAAAACCACCAAACAAAATTTCCCAACTCGCCGCTAGTTTCGTCCATAAATGATTTCATTAATTTCAAGGCTTCAAGAGAGTAGCGTGCGTTTACCTCGCCTACGGAACAGGAAAACGAAGGCCAGATTACTCATACATCGGCGAGAACTTTATGCGGGGTACTGGAGGTCATTGTTGCAAGGTCGATGTTCCACTGAGAATCGTGTACCGTGTTTTGCGAAAACTACCCATATGAAATTAAAATAGCGGGAGTTGAAAGTACGTTATTACAGTATTAGCGCTAAGCAATAATAATGTAATTTGCTAGGTTGTTTTAAGGAAACTCATTAAATAGTGACTTATTTTTATTTTAGGCAACATTTATTGGGAGCAATTACATCCGAGGGAGAGAAAACCTACAAGTTAATTCGTGAACAACCATTCATCGGGTCATCTAATTAGAATATCGCAAGCCTAGAAATTAGAATATCGCAAGAATTGCAAGCCTAGAAAAAATAAAAAAATATATATTTCCTTCGTGGGCTGCTACACTGGCACAAAGAAAGGTACGAAATTGAAGTTATGACACTCTTTTTCAAATATTTTATAATAATTATTAATAGAAGCCTTTTTGTAATGCTTACCCTTGCATGCAGAGTTAACACGCGTGTGATACCTGTAATTCAACCATCGCTTAAAAGTTTGGAGGGTTTTCTAGAAACCTCATTTTCCGAACCGTAACAATGTTGCAGCCCATAAACGATTTTAATGAAGCAACATTTTAGCAAAACGCAATTAAGATAATGATATGATATTAAGGAAAGAATCTGCAGAGGACTTTTATTAATTCGATGTGGCTTTCTAATAAGAACAAGACCATTCACACTCAAAGTCAAGAAATTCACAATGAAGTTATGCAAGTCAATTCTAGCATTCTAGGAATTTTTTAAACATTTTCATAAGGCTTGGCCGCTGTTTAGCGTTTATTGTCACGCCGCTGCAGACCGTGTTAATAACAAATAACAAAAATGAATTTTAGTAGATTTAATAGACTAAATGAATAGTTCACATAAAATACTTGATGTTATTCAAGAACTCTAGTGGGCGGCAAGCGATGACTGTCTCACTCCACAGTTTCACCGGAAACGAAAGAAGCGGCGCTAAGCCCAGGTTGGCAGACGCTGCGCCGGTGTTCGGACAAAATGAATATGTTTTTCTTCATGAACATCAACATAGAATCTGGGGTATTTTTTGCTCCTGTTCACACACACACACACACACACACACACACACATTTTTATGTTTACAAACTTCAAAATTTTGCCCAATTAACAGTCTTTTGCTTCAAGTTTACGTAACTACATATATATCACAAAAAATATTTTAGAATATTTTGTTGTTGTTTTACAAAAACATTGTAATGTGAAGGTAATATGCCCACATGCAGGTTTTTAATAGCCATTGCCAGATTAACTGGTTTCTTGTACCTTGATCATGGAACTAAGGTTAGCTATACTAGCATGTAATATGAATTATCCTAATAGTCAAATTTTACAAAAATACGGCCTGACATGATATCAGTAACGTAAGATTTGCTGGGTTACTGATAACAAATTTAGTATTTACAATGCGACTTTATTATACAAAATTGAAAACATCAGTAATTGATTGAAAACTTACTTGAAAAATCAAAAAAAAAGTTTAGTCAGTTTTACATTGAGGACAAATGTAAGTTTCTTTGTCTTAATACCCTACAATTTCTTTGCATAGATATTGCCAATCACACGACAATTCCAGCTTTCCTCGGTTGTGTTTACGCTCCAGTGATTACATCTTTTGTAGGTTTTTCTTCATGGAAATGTGGTTCTTGTCAGGATTATATTTATTCTTTTTTTTGCAGGATGATCCACTTTATAATTGTATCTGGACGTTGTTGAATTGTTTTGAAGGTCGTCTGATGTACTAGTTGAAAATAAATCATTTTTAAAGAGAGTTCATTGTAGGAGAATGAAGTTAATATGGTTGTAAGTGCCGGTAATATCCTCTTTACCCTTGGCCATATTGACAGCAAAAACATGTTATAAAATCTCGCCCGCGTTGCTAAAATATTGAAAAACTTTAACAGCATTTATCTGATTAGAGTGTTCGTTAAACGCGCTAGACATCGTGTATTGTCAAAATAATAAATCCTCCTCTGAAGAGTAAGGAGTTTTAAGGAGCGCCTCCAGCACTTTCTTGACAATGGAGGCTCCAGCGTGTGAATGCGCGAGTCATTAAGACTGGTAGGGTGTTAACGCATTTCTTACGCTCCCCCTGAGAGCATAATACAACTATCTGTGGTAAACAATTTTAGCGAATACCAGAACCCCTACTTTTTGCATCACTTATATGCAACCCCATATTTGCATCACTTATCATATATATATATATATATATATATATATATATATATATATATATATATACACACACACATATCAAACATATCTGGATACGTTTCCCCCCCCAAAAATTGTGATATGGTATATGTCGTGTTGTTTTTCGTGGTCGGGTTGCAAACCCTTGTTTGTTTTTTGTGAGATCCTTATCACTGGTGCCAAGGCCTACATTGATGTTTTAACACCGTCTGTCCCCACTTTAGAAGAGGGGGGGGGGCGATTGCATCATTCAACACGATTGAACACTTGTTCATACTGCACGGCCCGTGACGGAGTGATTACACAACAATAACATCCCTGTAATGGACTGACCTGCACAGAGTCCTGACTTGAATCTTATCGGACACCTTTTGAATTTTTTGGAACGCTGACTTCGTGTCAGGCCTCACTGATTTACATCGATACCTCTCCTCAGTGCAGCACTTCGTGAAGCTGCCATTCCCCAAGAAACCTTCCAGCACCTGATTGAAAGTATGCCTGCGAGAGTGGAAGCTGTCATCAAGTCTAAGGGTGGGCCAACACCTCATTGAATTGCTCATAGTGTACATATAAAGGGTATTTAGCTTAACTCGCCACCCATGTCTGAGAGCACTGCTTCTTGTTTTGGCAATTTGGCAGCTGCGTGTTTTTGTCACCTTTCAAAACAACTGTACCTCGCACGCCGAGTTAGTAGAGGAGAGGATCGACAGGGCATACGTTGCAGCAACGTTTCTGTTTCTGTGTTTTTCCCATGCGCCTAGGCGGGTAGGAACACGGTTCACACGTCCGAAGATTTTCATGCTGCACAGTGTGTGGGGTGGGGAGGAGTGAGCAAAGACAAATGCAAGAAACAAAAAGACTATATAGGCGTTTGTATCCATAATACTTAAGCAACAAAACTGTAATACTTAAGATGTGGAGGGATGTTATGAATGTTTATCAACTTGTTAATACAGACGTAACAACATTTTTTAATGAAAGTTGGCTCAGAGAGAAATTAGAAAGAATTCTCGTAGACCATTACTACTGTGGTCTTCATTATATATAACAACGTATTATTATTATTATTATTATTATTATTATTATTATTATTATTATTGAATCTGATTATTAAGCAAATAAGAATGCCTTAATAAAATTATTAAAAATACCAATAAAACATAAATCAGTAGTAAATTAATAATTATTGAAATAATTAATAAAAAATAATAAAATATCATTTTCTTAGAATGACAAAAACCTGACCGTAGAGTAACGTCTCAAAGTGACCAGCATTTGCAAAGCGAGAGGCGTTTACTCTTTGAATTGAATTAATGCCTTATTTATTTTACACGGGCCATCAGGCCCGCTTTTGCGTCTGACCACGCAAATTTCGCTACGCTTCTTTCACCCACTTGCGAAGAAAGGACGTATTTCTTGGGCGACAAAATTGGCGTTTTGAATTCGGCTTAGAGGTGTCATTTAGGCTTGAGGATCTTTTACATGCAAGTAAATCTTGGACGGCTTTACTTTCCCTCCGAAGGAAGGCGTTCGAAGGATTTTTTTGCTCTTAAAATTCCACGGCTTCGAGGTTTGAACCCGCCAACTTGGGTACAACAGTCCGGTACGCTAACCGTTACACAATCGCCGCCGACTCCTTTCAGTTGTAGTAGCTGCGTACTGCAGATGCGTACTGCTTGAAGATGAACACGGACATAATTAGTGCTACCTTTTTTTCCAACTAAAATTAGCCACATTCTCTCACTCCGAAATCTTAGGGCACGCGGCTGTGGGTCGCTAAAAGTGAAAGGGATACCAAAGTTATTTCATGCGTTGCCAAATTGCCGAAACCAGAGGTGGTATTTCTAGACATGGGCTGTGAGTAAAACTAAGGTCCCTGTAAATATTGTAATGAATATTGCATCACCTGCCGGGATTCGCTGCTCGGATAGCGTCACCTATCAGCGCCACCCGAACTGGACGGTTCCGGGTTAGTCGCGAGTTGCGTAGAAATATAACGCAAGTTCCAGATGGTTCAAGGAGTGAGCCTGCCAGGTATAAATTCGCCGCTGCCGGCGACCGCGACTAAGTGTGAGTCAGTGAGTATGCAGTCTGTCTGAAGTGGAAGCTGAGCTTGGAACTGTGCGCTGCGGTGAACAGTGGTGCAATAGGTGAACAGCGGCGCAGAGGACTGTGGACAGTGTATCGGTGTATTTTTGTAAAAAAATATTTTTATTATGAACTTGCGTATCACTAATACAATCGTGAAAGAAGAAAATTCCGCCGGAGGCGCCACATTAATCTAGTAAAAATATATTTGTGTAAATAATTGCTCACGTTCCAGTTAAATGAATTTGGAATTAAGAGAGATTTTATTACTATTATCTACAAGACGTGTCCTGAGGAAGCCCATTATAAACATTATTTTTGTATGTAAATAAACAAATACAAGTTAATGATCATTTCACTTTATTACTTACCAAGCCACCATGCTCCCAACCAACGAGGATCATCTTTATCTATTAGAGGAGTTAGTGATGGTGCTATGTATATTCTCAAGCATGCAAATCCTAAAATGAATCCAAATGCTGGTCCAATTGTTCGCAGTGCTAGTACACAACCTAGAAAATCCGCCAAGAAATAAATAATACTTACACAATTAATTAGCACTAAAAATTCTCATATGGAATAAACTTATTCTTACCCAGCATCAAAGGCGTTCTTCGTTTATTTGTATTGTCATCTAAGTATGTTTGACCAAGTGCGTAGTATAAAGTAGTTCCGACACCCAATACAAATTGTGAAAGAAAAATTAAAACAAGTGGCATTGTCGCATAATCGTTGTCAGAGAAGCAGTCTTCATCGGTTCCTTCAATCAGACACAATTCGTTTACGAAACCTGAAATTGAAGATTTGGACTTTTGACTTGTCAATAATCAGGTGATACAGACCCGTGCTTCCTGAAGAAAGTTCTTAGAATCTGGTCTTTGCTGGAAGCGCCATTTCAGGAAAAATTATTGATTAGTCCATCAGTGGTAGTTCGTGCCAGTTCTATCATGTTTAAAAACTAGAAAAGTAGTTATTTAAATATACTTAATTATTTATGTAATATATAGGTCTATTACTCTTGCGAGACATAATCACATCAGAATTTATTTGCGACTAGTAGACCCGGTAATGCTTTGCTTTTGCAATGTATTACTGGGCACGTCATTGTTTATTGCTACGCTCTGCCAAACTTTTAACAGGTGACAACTTCTTAAGAAAATAAAGATATGTAATGCTGTGCGATAAAACAGCCAATTCTCGGAAGAACATTTTTTTTGTAGAACTCTGGTAGCGAACAAGTGGATAAAATCAGTTGCTAAATATAGAAAAAAATTGTCTAACACCCGGTAGCCAGAAGTCATGTTTTGTGGGTCCTTGATCCCGAGAATTCTATTGACGGCAAAACGTCTACCAGACTGTCCGTTTGTGAACAACGCTAGCGGCTATTATTCAGCGGCGTTCAACTAATATTCTCCAAAATTGATATTATTCAATCGATCTGACTGATATCGTGGCCTCTTGAGTTTGAAATCGATATTTTAATTTTAATGAGTACTTATCACGAAGCCCCTGGGACATCTTCAAAATTTTAATGGCGCCATTGCCTTTGATTAGATTTTGTTGTTGAATTGTGAAAAGGACATTTAAGAAAATGGTGCAGGTCTTATGTTGGTTATAAGCACTAATTTTTCCAAAATTGAAAAAAATTGATTTTTTAAAAATTAAGGGTATGTACAATTTTTCAAAAATGTATTTTTTGCGTTACTTTAATATACGCTTAAATATTTTTAGGGCTTTCGAAAGCTTTTGACGTTATTAACCATAACATATTGCTATCAAAAAAATTACCTTCGTATGAATTCGTGGTATCACCCCAGATTGAATAACCTCGTAACTTACACATCGATCTCAAAAGTAGAAATGTCGTACTGCCACGAAAGGACATTATTTACTTATCTTTACGATTCTTTACCAATTGAATGTGCGGTCCCGCCAGGTTCGATCTTAGGTCCTGTTCTTTTCAGTTATACGTAAACGATATGCCCTTGTCTCTTCAAAACTGAAGAACGGTACTGATTGCCAATGACACGAATGTTCTTTGGAAAAAGGAAACAATAAATAGTACGATTTCAGAAGTTTCAAATTGGTTTTGTAATAACAAATTAATGGGTAACGAAGGAAAAAGTTTCAATATATTTTTGTATTTCAAATCAGCAATCGCATGTTCCATTGAAAATGAACAAAATGCAATTAGCTGATAAGGTAATGAAATTTCTAGGCCTCTCAATTCAGTCAAACCACAAATAGAATGTACATATAACAGAATTAAATATTAAATTAAGTTCATTATGTTACGCAATCAGAATTCTTTCTAATTCTGTGAGCCGTTTGTTTTCAAATGTGTTCTCCCGTCTGAGATATGGCATAATATTCTGGGAAAGTTCATCATGTAGTACACAGACCTTTAGTTTGTAAAAGAAAAGTATTAGAATAATAAAAAAATGCTTTCCGCGTGATCCCTGCAAGCCTCACATTGAGCTTGGAGTCGTACCATTGATTTGCCTATATATGTACGAATCTGTAATATTTGTCAAAACGCGCGTACTTAACAGTAGAAACATATTTTCATGCAATACTGATATTTATAATTACAAATCACGTCCTAGAAATCACGTTTATCAAGTATGTGTATCAACAGATCATTACCAGAAATCCACATACAAACATGTGCGTTACTTTACAATGCATTGCCAGATGACATTAAACAATTGAAGTTAAAAGTAAAAAACAATCTGCTGCACGTCTGTTTCTATACAATTAGACTATACAGAACATCAAAAAGAAAAATAATGTTTATTTTAACGAAACAGATACATAATGATTTAGTTTACATTTGTATTGTATATATTTTTTAAAAGACTTAATGTTTTTGTTCAGCTTTACGTAAACGATATGCCCTTTTCTATTAAGAACTAAAGAACGGTACTGATGCAATAATGTATTTCAGCTTCCGAGTCAATGATCCCCATCTCGATCAGTTTTTGATCCAGTTTCTCTGATACACTGAGAAAAAGCTGAGATGGCCCCTTGTTTTGCTTCTGGACGAAAATGTAGCTTCACTACGCGCACACTTTGTTGAACTTTCCTTTTGCTTGTTGTGGTAGGAGTAGAGGAGTAAGGGTGAGTTATTATTTTGTTAGCAAATGCAGAAAAATTAAACCTGCAGTTCGTTTACAGTTGCAACATAGGTTTCTATTACACGGGAACGAAAATTTCTAGTTTTAAAATGTTCCTGGACTGGCCCTTTTTAAAGTTTTATTTTTATTTATTTATCTTTAACTTTTACTAGTCCTTCAACTATTTATAGTTAAAATGAAGGGAAGGAATTATTGAACTCAAGAAAACGTGCGCAGATGATTTTCTCCCCCATACGTTGCACACAGTTTTTACTGTTTTTTTTTTTTTTACTAAATAAATCTAAATACTTGATCGGGACGCCCTGATTTGGTAGCGCGTTGAGTGTTGGCTCGTGTTCTATTGTATCAAATGCGTTATAAAAGTCCACCAGAGCAATGTATAAATTTAGATTATATTCTTGAACTTTTTCCAAAATTTGATTAATAACATGAAGGTGGTCTATCGTGTTGTATCAATTTCTAAAACTTGCCTGTTCTAGTGCTAACTGTTCGTCAAGTGTACGTGTTATACTTCTTGTGATAATTTGAGTAAAATGTTTATATTAGTTGAGAATCAGACTTATTAGGTTGTTAAGTTCATTTCTCGGGCCTTTTTATGGATAAGTGATACTGTGCTCACAGCCATTGAGAAGGTATTTCTTCGTATATCAGAATTTCATTGAAGATTTCTGTGATTGACTTGTCAATTTCGGGTAACCGTATTTAAAAAGTTCGGTAGTAATGCCATCTTCAGGCGTTCTGCCTGTTTTTAGACACGCAATTGCTTATCTCAGTTCGCTGATTAGTATTTCAGGTATTGCTTCTTCTGATTGATATATGTCCTCTTGAAGATCAAGTTATTTTTTGTTTTCATAGAGCTCTCTATAAAATTATGTTGCTGTTTAATTACCTTCTGTTCTCGAAACGAGCTTTTTTCCCTGTTTATCGTGAACTAATATATTATGCGTATGTGTGAATATTTATTTCTTTGCTTTTTTCATCGATTTAGACTCAGTTATTATTGCTTAACCTTATCTGAATTGTATTGGCTTACTCGTTTGACTTTTGGATAGAGACAATCTAATTTCCTGTTTGACTTTTTTGTTTAATAAAACGTATTCTGATTTCATTCCCTGAGTAGTTCTGTATAGTAACAATTTCCTTCTTTTTTCTAATAATATCTGTGTATCCGCACTTAGTTTACATTTGTTTGTTCTTCTGTGTATTGTCTTAAATTTGCTTCCTGCCCTGCTTTTAGTATACAGTCTTGAAGTGAATTATATCTTGAATACTTTGATGTGAGTTAATACAGTCGATATTCTTTAACAGTTCTGATTTGTACTTGGTTCTGTCTTTATTTCTGGGTATTTGATTGCTGAGGCTAGAATGATAGAAACTTCTTAAGCTCTTTAAATTTAGTTCTGCGCCCACCATTCAATGGTCTGAGTCAAAATTTAAGGTGTCGATGACTTCTGTTTTGAGGATACAATGTAGATTATTGGTCTATATATGACATATTTCCTTCTTGGTTCTTTCACGATGAGAGATCCATTTCCATCTTTCATTTCGACTTTCATCGAAGAATGTATTTGCAATTTTCATGTCATTGCTTTCGGCATAATGTGTCTGTCATCTCCTTTGGTTGCGTTCTTCCATACCGAATCTTTCAATCGCCTCCTACTCGGGGTATTTCTTTCTGCCTACGTTGGCATTAAAATATCCTATTATTTTAGTTTAGCTCTGTTTGAGTTTAGAGCTTAGAGCTGTCGAGTGTGTTATAGAATTGGTCAATTTCTACATTTGTGCTGTTGGAGCATCGGCTTGTTATGTTAGAATTGTTCGCCTCCCTATTTTCATTTTGAGTGCTGCTGTTCTTTCGTTTATGCCAAATATTTCTTCTACATTCTTTTTGATCCTCTTGTTGGTGATGGAACCTAATCCTCCCCGATCTTTTGTAGTTCCAGTGTACGAGAAAATGTCCATATTTGCTTTTTCAGGTATAGCCTCTCCATATTTTGTTAATTTGCATAAGCCATCGACATTTCTGTCATAGTTTCGACATGATTTCTGATAGTGCTTTTTCTGATTCATATTCTCTTTCAGGGGTTTGTAATTAAGAATTCATTTTAAATATTCCATTATCGTTTTCAAAAGGTCTTGGGAATGATGTTCTTTTTCGCCGGACTCGTGCTTGGATTTGTTCGATGGTATTTTATTTCTTTGGTCAATCTACAATTAAATGTAGCTATCATTAGTCTGTTATTTCGTGTGTTTTAAACATGATTATTGCTCTTGGTTGGCTTTTGTTTAGTGATTAGCATCATCTCCTGTGGGGCGTCAATTCTTTTAGTGGTTTTAGATCTAGTATTTTCTTCTAGTTTTTTTCTTGAACTCAGGAAAAAATCCCCCAATTTTCTCTAAGTCCATCAGTTTGAATTTTTTGAAAGCCTACCTTTACATTTTTTCCTTCCGCTCTTAATTGATGTGCTGTTTGACGAATTACGGACTGAATCTCTCTTTCTTGTTTTGTGAGATCACTTTCAATATTCGTATCTTTCCCTCTAAGTTTACTCCTGTTTTGTAAAATTTTAGCTTTATATGTGAAGTGCACACGAGCTATTCCTCTTTCTGATTTGTCTCATCCTATGATGTAGGCACCTTTGCTTGCTAAAATGACC